TTACCATTGTACAAGCTACTTTGTTCCCTTCCAATTACCGATTGATTATCATAATGTATCATTACAGCGGGCACCGATTTTGTCCAGCATGGAATATCTTCAAGGAAATTCCTAAGCCATTCAGCTTCTTCCCCGGCTTTGTCCAAGGATATAAACTCGGACTCCATCGTGGATCTAGCAATACACGTTTGCTTAGAAGATTTCCATGACACCGCTCCTCCACCTATAGTGAACACAAAACCACTAGTGGACTTGGAGTCTTTTGTGTCGGATATCCAATTCGCATCACAATACCCTTCAAGTACCGTTGGATACCTCGTATATATTCCATAACTCAAGGTATGTTTCAAATACCTAAGTACCCGAATAAGTGCATTCCAATGGTCATTGCTCGGGTTACTCGTGAACCCACTTAGTTTACTCACAGAATATGCTATATCGGAGCGAGTACAATTCATCAAGTACATCAAACTCCCAATTACTCGTGAGTATTCTAGTTGAGACACTGGTTCACCTCGATTTTTAGCTAAGTGTTGAGTTAAATCAACAGGCGTCTTAGCTGGAGGCTTATTGAATGCATTGAACCTCTTCAAGATGTTTTCGACATAATGAGATTGTGACAAAACAATTCCTTCCGAACTTTTAGAGATTTTAATCCCTAAGATTACATCGGCTTTTCCTATATCTTTTATGTCGAAATTATTTTTCAACATTTTCTTGGAACTAAAAATTAAACCATTATTTTTTCCCAAGATTAACATGTCATCAACATACAGGCATACAATCACGAATGAATCGACGTTACATTTAATATAGACACATTTGTCACACTCGTTTATTTTAAATCCGTTCGACAACATCACTTTGTCAAACTTTTCGTGCCATTGCTTAGGTGCTTGTTTTAGCTCATAAAGCGACTTAACCAAGAGACACACCTTTTTCTCTTTTCCAGGTGCTACGAACCCCTCGGGTTGTTCCATATAAATTTCCTCCTCCAGGTCTCCATTTAAGAAGGCTGTTTTCACATCCATTTGATGAATCTTAAGGTCATGCATTGCAGCAATTGCAATGAGAACACGTATAGACGTAATTCGAGTTACATGAGAATACGTATCAAAGAAATCATATCCCTTTGTTTGCTTAAACCCTTTTACAACCAATCGGGCCTTATATTTATCAATAGTTCCATCAGCTTTATACTTCATTTTAAGAATCCATTTACATCCCAAAGGTTTGCTACCCGGTGGGAGATCAACCAACTCCCAAGTATTATTGTGCATAATGGATTCAATCTCACTATTGATAGCTTCTTTCCAAAAAGGAGCATCCGGACTTGTCAAAGCCTCTTGAATGGTTCTCGGTTCGTTTTCTAACACATAAGTTAAAAATTCAGGACCAAAAGACTTAGGTACTTTTGTTCTCTTACTACGCCTTGGCTCATCCTCAATTTCTTGAGGTAGCTTGGCCTCTTCAAATGTCCTTTTTCTCAAAATTATTTCTTCCTTGTCTTTACGAGGAAAAATATTCTCAAAGAACACCGCATTTCGAGACTCAATAGTTGTTCCATTATGAATCTCCAAAATTTCTGATTTGTGCACCAAAAATCGATAAGCACTACTATTGTTTGCATAACCAATAAATATACAATCAATAGTCTTTGGTCCAATTTTCACTTGTTTCGGTTTAGGTATTTCAACCTTTGCTAAACACCCCCACACTTTAAGTATTTGTAGGTAGGTCTATGACCTTTCCATAACTCATATGGCGTTTTGTCGTTACCTTTGTGGGGTAATTTGTTCAAAATATAATTTGCCGAAAGAACCGCTTCCACCCACAAGTTTTGGGGTAAGCCCGTACTTATCAAAAGCGCATTCGTCATCTCTTTTAGTGTCTGATTCTTTCTCTCGGCCACTCCATTAGATTGTGGTGAATACAGATCCGTCGTTTGATGAATAATACCGGACTCTTTGCAGAACACTTCAAATGGGGCTACATACTCGCCTCCTTTATCACTTCGAATCGCTTTGATCTTTCGACTAAGTTGATTCTCAACTTCATTTTTATATGTCTTAAAGGCCTATAATGCCTCGTCTCTACTCTTTAGTAGATAAACAAAACAATACCTTGTACAATCGTCTATGAATGTAATGAAATACTTCATCCTCGCTCGAGTTCGCACAAATTTTAAATCACATATGTCAGTGTGAATTAACTCGAGTGGACTAGTGCTTCTCATCACCGGTTTAAATGGTGTTTTAGTCACTTTTGCTTCAACACATGTTTCGCACTTGTTGAGTGAATCAATTTTAACTTTTGGTATCAATTCCAAATTCACCAACCTTTTAATTGTGTTAAAGTTCACATGTCCTAATCTATCATGCCATAAATTAGAACACTCCAACAAATAAGAAATACTTTCTTTATTCTTCGCCTCTTGGCGGATAACATTCATTACATTCATCTTAAAAAGACCCTCATCTAGGTACCCTTTCGCTAAGAAGATACCATTCTTAGTCATTACAAATTTATCGGCCTCAAAGACTAATCTAAAACAGGCTTTGCTCAAAAGAGCACCGGATACAAGGTTCTTACTTCTTACGGATGTCCGGGACATGCAGCACTTCCGTCAGCGTCAAGTCTTTGCCCGAAGTCATTTTCAGCACCACCTTTCCCATTCCCACGACCTTTGATGTCGAAGAGTTGCCCATGAATAGCTTCCTTCCGTCGGTAGGGGTATAAGACGAGAACATATCTCTATCCGCACAAATATGCCGAGTTGTTCCCATATCGACCCACCATTCTCGTGGATTATTAACCAAATTAACTTCTTGGACCACGGCGGTTAGATGGAGCTCAGATAAGTCAATGGGAACAGATTTATCCTCGGCTATATGTGCGCTATCTTTACCCTTCTTCGGGAGACGACAATCTTTCGCAAGATGTCCAGATTTACCACAATTGTAGCAATTCCCTTTGAACTTCTTGGTGCTCGTTTGAGGTTGCTTTCCCTTTGAAGTTCTCTTGCGCTTCTTATTAGAGCTTGACTCGGCCAAGTTTGCCTTAGCCTCAAAGTCGCTCCGGTTGGCCCTTACTTCAGATTTTCAATTATCTTTCTCAATTCTAAGTCGAACAATCAAGTCCTCCAATGTCATCTCTTTGCGTTTATTCATGAGATAGTTTTTGAAGTCCTTCCAAAGTGGTGGTAACTTTTCAACAATAGCCGCAACTTGGAAGGCCTCATTCACAATCAATTCTTCGGCAAACAAATCGTGAAAGATGATTTGAATCTCTTGAACTTGGCTAACCACCGACTTGGTGTCCACCATTAAGTACTTTAGGAATTTGCCGACGAGAAATTTTTTAATCCCGGCATCTTCCGTCTTGTACTTCATCTCCAAGGAATTCCATAACTCCTTTGTCGTCTTAATCGGACTATAAACATTATAGAGAGAATCGTCTAGTCCGTTAAGGATATAATTTCTACATAAAAAATCATTGTGATGCCAAGCATCCGAGGCCGTACGCTTTTGCATGTCGGTCTCACTTTCGGGGACGATCAAAGGGTCCTCCGAAAGAAAACGATAGAGGGAGAGAGTTGTGAGGTAGAAAAGCATCTTTTGTTGCCACCTCTTGAAATCAGAGCCATTGAACTTCGGCGGTCTCTCGCCTTGGACAGGAGAAGCTAACATCGGTATAGCGGTAGGTTGAGCATTTGTTCGGTTTCCTTCGGTTGCCATCTTATGAACTCACAAATATTTCGTCTTAAGATTGTAGTTTATAATTTTTGTTTTTGTATGTGAATTTCAAGAAAATGGCTTAAGAAATAGAAGGAATTTTGGTAAAACGAACAAAGTCGAGGCACGTAAGATACGCTCTCCTTAAGAAGAAATAGCCCCGTATATTACCCACGGTTCACGGCTAACGCCTCCCAGATACAACGACTTTTGATTTGTGTATAGTGGTAACTCAAATACACAAACCTTCGGCGAACAATACTTAAGTTTCAGAACTCTCAAGATAGGAAAGAACACAAAGAACACAAGATGAATATGAACTTTGTAAAAATGATGCAAAAGTTATGGAATTATTTGATGTCTTGAATGATTTCATGTTAGTGGGTATTTATAGATGTAAGGAGACACCTCCAAGAGGTTTAATTGTCAAAAGACACCTTTTGGGACGTGCCCGAACAAGAACGGATGTATCTAGTGGCCAAAAGATACCTTATGGTCACCAAGGGTTGCGACCCTTCAATTTCCGCAGCCAGTTGCGCGCCCGTGCCCCGCGGGCTCGTACGAGCTCATACGGACTCGGAATCGAGTTCCATTTTTTCCTACTTGTCCCTAACGAACCCCTCTACAATTCTAGCATACATAATGCATATTTATGGCTCGTTTAGTTTATCCAAACATTTATTAAAATATAATGTTTGTGAACCCTACAATCTTTTGAGTTGTTTAAACTCAATTAATTAAAATAAAACACTTAGAATTAATTTCTCATTCACCTTAAAAAAATTTTGAGACTTTTCTAAGTATTCTACTTACGAAAAATAGAATCGTTAAATCGGTACAAAACTAATTTTTTTTCTTACAGTATTAGTTAACATGGTCAACAATACTTTTTGTTACATAATTTCATGCATAATAGTTTAAATTATTTTAATTCTTTTTCAAATAAATTCAAATATTGTAAAAAAAGAAAATAAAACAAAGAAATAATTGGACGCCTAAAACCACATAGGTAAGCATTAGTAATGTCACACAATCTCGACAACGGCCAATCGTTCGAGCGTCTCTGGTAGCCCAAAATCGTACTGGTGCTTAGGTCAGTTTATTAGTACTGATTTTATATTCAATAACAATTCCAGCGTCATAAAGGTCTATTATTTTTTAATAAAATGAGAATAATTCCAAACACATCCTAACGGCAAATAAACAAACATAGTCTGTATGATAATAACAAGTGAGAAGCTGAAAAGCACAAGTCACCCTACTCATTCACTGCCCCTCCACTTGGCCACCATCACCACCACCACCACCATCACCATCACCTTCCTCCTCGGCCGCAGCCTCCTTACTGCCGTACCACCTCGCACACACCAAATAGATCAAGAAGTCAACGGCCGTCAACCCAGCCACCAGGAAGTAGAACCTGTCCAGGTGCCCCTTGTTGAGGTCTTGGGGTATCCACCCAAGCCCCCCACCCCGTGTCGTCACCACCGTCACCAGGCTCACCAGCAAGCTGTTGGCGAAATTCCCCAGGCTTATCGAGGCCATGCAGAGGGAGCTCCCGAGGCTCTTCACCCCATCCGGTGCCTGCCCGTTGAAGAAGTCGAGCTGCCCCACGTACATGAGCACTTCCGAGGCCCCCACCAGCACGTACTGAGGCACCTGCCACAGGATGCTCACCGGAGTCGCTGCCCGTAGGCGCACAACCTCCAAGGCGCCGGCTGCCGCCACTGCCAGGGCGGCCACGACGAGGCCAGCGGCCATGCGCTGGAGCTCGGTGGGGTGGAGTCGGGAGATGAAGCGGCGGTAGATGCCGGTGAAGGCAAGGACGCTGAGGATGTCGAAGGCTGTCATGCTGGCGGCAGGGATGCGGAAGTGGGTGCCCGGGAGGCGGGTGTTCATGAGGTCCCCCTGCTCCACAAACAGGGACGCCATCTGGGTGAACACCACCGAGTAGGGGATAGTGCAGAGCCAGATGGGAAGCATGCGCAGGATGCACTTAGCTTCCTCCACTTGAGTCACTGTGCACAGCCGCCAAGGGTCGGGGGACACCACCCTGTCGCTGCCAGTTATCGTGGCTGCCTTGTCAAGCCACCTGCCAAATTTAATATTTATCTCATCAATCTCGATTGAAGAATCAATACTAAGTACGTACGTACTAAAGCATGCGCTCACCCAAACTCTCGTGTATGGCAAATCTTGCGACTCCCTTTAATGGCAGACTTCAAGCCATCCACCTCATACAGCTCGTCTCCATCCCCCTTAACCACGTTACACTTCTTGACTGCCGCCACAAACACCTGCATGACCCTCGTGACTGGGTTTCCGCTCGGCTTCATGTAACGATACCCAGGGGAGCCTGCCAGGTATGCCGCCAGGGCCAGGACGGCCGAGGCGGTGGCAGCCCAGAAACCAAGGTTCCATCGGCCGACATTCTCGTAGTAGACGAGGACAGTGTTGGAGAAGAGGGAGCCGAGGTTGAGGGCAAAGTAGAAGTACGAGAAGAAGACGGCCTTCGACTTCTTCTGCCTCGGCTGAGACTCGTCAAACTGGTCCGACCCGAGCGTGGCTAGGGTCGGCTGGTGGCCCCCGTAGCCGAGAGCCACTAGGTAGATGGCCAGGTAGAAAAGGGCCGAGGCATAGGGGCTAGTAGGGACGCATATCTTTTTGCTGTCCCCACAGCCTGCAGGCTTGAGCAGGAGCAGTTGTGACGACACGGATAGAAGAACCAGCCCCTGCAAACCAAAACACACACACACACACACATTAAAATATTTCTCTGATTATTACTGTTTTGGTAAATAATGAATCTATTCAAGTAAGTCTAAACAAAAAAAGCAAGACAATTTGGATTAATAACATGATAAAAATAGCAGAGCTTTTTTTTTTTTTTTGGGCAATGGAAGATGAATATTTACGGCGACAAAGATGACTTGGAAAATGGCGCAAGTGAGATAACGTCCCCAGTAGGAGTCGCTGAGGAATGCCCCCACGAGGGAGCATAGATAGACGGTGCCAGTCCATTTGCTGACGTTGTTAGCTGCAGAGGCATTGTCCTGACCCAGAACTCGAGTGAAAAACAATACCAAGTTCACCCCTACGCCGAAGAAAGCTAGTGTTGCGAGGCCTTGATTTGCTGCAAGAAGAGATTTATGTCATTTTCAGGAGAATAATATAAAGGGATTTAGAAAAATGTAATTTATCATAGTTTTGGGGGGAATTTCGGAAGAAATACAAAGGGGGAGACACACCTAGCAAAAGAAATGCGGAACCCCAGCCTCCGGACTCCTTTCTAGTGAGACTTGGAATGTTCACAATGATATTTACATGTCCTGCTTCCTGGGCTTTCGGGCTTTCAGCCCCCTGAAATACAGATCAAATCAGAGTTAAGCGCATGAGTTTATCGATAAAACATAATTTGTTTAAGTTTGGAAGATTGATAGTCGTTTCGCTGTTATGTCAAACATAATCAGAGTTAACCTCTACATTGAGCCTATCATGAATCGCAGCAACATGAAAACAAACTCTACGATACATGTGTTATAAAGGTTTACGGACTATGGGACCCTTACTTTTTCTCCAAAAGCCAGACTCCCTCATGATTTGCAACAAAAAAAATAAACAAAAAATTTATGGAGGCAAATGTGAGAATACGAACCTTCGGTGCAGCTTCTGTGTTCACGTTAACGGCGTCCATTACGGCGAATCAAGTCCAACTCTGCAAAGACGAAGAAGCTTAAAAAGTCTACTCAGAGTCACTCTGAAAGTCGAAAATTCGAGGTGCATATTTGAAACTCGATTTCGACCGTATTACATTCTGATAAAATAAACTAAATCTCTGCATATTTTCCCTCCATTCGACACACTTTGTCCTTTTTTCATTGGAATTCATTAATTGTCACTGGCCACATTCATTAACTCTTCCTATCTTTGCAGTAAATATCAGCTCTATCCATAGCAGAATCTCACCACTAAAGCCAAACTAAAAGGTAAAATTATGCAAGATATTTAATAATAGTTATAAAATCATGTATATACATATATAAAAATAATATATTAATTACCTTTCCTTGAACTTTACAAGAGACTGATGAAGAAGTTCCGGGATGGTGCCGGATTCCGACGACCGGACGGTGATGAGTACGGGAGCCACTAACAATTTGTGCCCGGAGAAACCTATTGTCATTTATGGGTGAAAATTAACGGTGAAAGTTGATGGCTAACGTGTACTAATGAATGAATGCACAATCTTGTCTTGCTTATTAGTCCTTTTTGTTTCTCGATGATGATGAAGAAACATAAAAGGACTAATACTGACAACTCTGTTTAGGAATTGGCGTAACAGAATCCTATATACTTGCGTTTGACATGTTCAAAATTTTGTTAGGATTAGGACTCTTTTGATATTTTTGGAATATTCTACCAGATTTGGGCTCTCACCTCGTATCATTTGATGGGTATATGTAGGGACGAATGACTTCGTAATATTTTATTTATAAGTACAATATAAAGGCAAAAATTCGTTTTTGGTACGTTTACTTGTGTAAAAGTCATTTTTTAGTACACTAACTTTCTCCCTCGTCAATAAATTGTACATTATGTTGTAATTTGTATCCCAAAAAATAATGAACCATTTTCGTTTAATATTCCAATAGTGATACATATTGCAACCTAACGTAATGTGTTTCATGAGTAATGTCTCAAAAATAATAAGAAATTTGCACCATAACGTATTATTATTGGTAAAGAAAAAGTCAGTGTACTAAAAAAAGGAGTTTAGACTTGTAAACGGACCAAAATTGAAAATTTTCCAAAGTATAAATATAGCTAAGAATTTCAGAAAGAAAAATACATCAAAATTTGATGTTTTCCGGACATTGCCGGTTAATAAATTAGTATCAGGAAAGCTTTAAAAGTTAATAAAACTTTATCTATAAGATTATGATGCTAATTTTCCAAAATTTTATTAGATAACACTTTACGTGAAAAAAAAAATATAATGTTATTATTCAAATCCCGCCCACGTAAAAAGAAAATAATTTTATTATATAGTAAATAAAAGAAAAGAAAAAGAAAAATATGCGGGTGAATGTTGAAAATAATTTTATTATATAGTAATTTCATGAACGCAGCACATATAATTATAGAGAAATATTACGGTTTCGTTACGGAAACATTTCGTCGTGATAGATCATCATGTAACTATCGAGAATAATTGATCTAGCGGTTACAAATCCTGACGAAATAGTTCTGCAACGAGACCGTAACATTTCCCTATAATTATATAAATTGTTGCAATTGATTGAATGAGTCCTTTAATTAATTAACAACGTAAATTGTGGAAAATGGGATCTTGAAATTCAGTAGTATAAACTGTAGAGTGTAGAGCTATCTTTATCTCTTCAGAAAAATCAAATTACAAAGGCATCATTAATTAGTTAATAAAAGATGAGAAACCTAGGACGATCGCTAGTTGCTCCTCCAAAAACATGGATTACTTGTCTTAACTTGAAAAAAATAAAATACAATGATCAAATTTATTTGAGCTCATTTATATTTACTTTGAAATTCAATTAAAGAAATATAAAGGGACTTGTTTCAAGTTGTGTTGACTATTGTTATGCTTTACCTTATTTTCCAAAAAAAAAAAGAAATATAATATAAATAAATATTCATTCTTTTTTACATTATTTTAAAAAAACAAGAAGAAAAAAAAAACATTATAATGTATTTAAGAGCATCAACAATGCTTTAGGTTCAATTTTACATATGTGACATATAAATGGACTTAAGTCTTGAATGATATGGACAAACTCAAGTAAAAAAATTCAAAAGTCATCCAATACAAAAATAAAATACTAGGTCTAGAATATTTATCAACCAATAAAAATTCTCTAAAATATTTTCTATATTAAGAGAAAAATTAAATTAAGAATAAATGCTGATTGTTCAGGTTTGTACTTTGGTCCAAAATACACTCAAGTGTAGACTTAGTCTCATTTTTTGATTGCCACATAAGTTAGACCTATTCTACTTTTAATTGCATTGGCAAGTATTTATTAATAGACTAAGTCTATTTCCTACATGACATGTTATTTTTGTAAGAGAACCAAAGCATTATGGGTGCTCTAAGGGTGTTATTCAGTCGTGTCGAATTAGGTAGTTCATGTTTGAACTTGTGTCGTTTAGTAAATGAGCCGGCTTGGCTCGACCCTGTTTTATTTTAAACTTGTACGATAAAATATAAAAATCAAACAAATTAAAAAATGAGTTGTTAGCAGTGAGCAAGCTCGGTTTGACTCGTTTAGTAAACAAGATTGATTAGTTGTTCGAGTTTGATTCATTTAAGTTAACGAACCAGCAAAGCTTGAGGTTTCGCAAGTCGAGTGATTAGTTGTGTTCACGAACTGCTCAAAATAACAACTCAAATTAAAAAATTAGTTGTTAGCAGTGAGCAAGCTCTGCTTGACTCGTTTAGTAAACAAGATTGATTAGTTGTTCGAGTTTGATTCATTTAAGTTAACGAACCAGCAAAGATTGAGGTTTCGCAAGTTGAGTGATTAATTGTGTGAACTGCTCAAAATAACAACTCAAATGAAAACAATTAGTTGTTAGCAGTGAGCAAGCTCGGTTTAGTAAACAAGACTGATTAGTTGTTCGAGTTTGATTCATTTATGTGAACGAACCAGCAAAGCTTGAGGTCGCAAGTTGAGTGATTAGTTGTGTTCACGAATTGCTCAAAATAACAACTCAAATTATATCCTTTTTATTTGTACATAGATGTATTAGTGGTGGATGACTTGATAAGAAAACTATTCGATGGCTCCATAGAATTTTTGTAGAGCTTATACAGAAAAAATGGATAAAAGATAGAAAGGGGTAATATACCCAATTGGTATGCATACATAAGTTTATTTTTAATGAAAAATCTAAAACGTATTTAGACCCGTGCAAACTTCATATAACGTCCTTTGAGAAATTGCTAATACGCACCGTGCGATGCACGAGATAACAATATTAAAAATAATTTTATTAAGATTATGGTGAGAGAAAATATATTAAAAACAACTTTATAAACATAACTATCGTGTTAATATCAAAACTAATTTTATAATTTAAATATGCGGCAACATGAATAGAGATGTTAAACGGGCTAGCCCTAGCGGTTACGGGCTAGCCCTAGCGGGCTTCGGGCTAAACGGTCCGGGCCTAAAAAGCCCGGATTTAAACGGGCTACAAATAAAAGGACCTAACCCTAACCCTAGCGGGCTTCGGGCTAAACGGGCTAAACGGGCTTTAATAATAGTATTAATAATAATGTATCAAAAAATATCAAAAATAAAAAGAAAAAAATTATAAAAAATTACAACGACTAATTAACGATTGTTTTCAACGGTATTTATTATTTGCTGCTCTATATATACAACTACACATTATATATGAACACATACTACAAACTCTTAAATAATATTTTTTTTTCAAAAGAAAAAAATATTCAAATTATTTCTTATAATTACCATTTCACTACTTATATTTTGTACGCTTTGGAAATTTTTACGATATTATATCACTATAAATTCTATCACTATGTTTCATGTGTTAGGTCTTTGTCTCATTTGTTTCCTATTAGTCGTTCTGATTGAGTTAAATATTTTGGTGTGGAGTACAATAAGAATATTGTTAATAATTATCTTTCCAAATCAATATAATCCGTTACAGCTCATACTTATATGTGAAGTGGAATAACAAAATTTTAATATACAATGAATCTAAGAGTATATTACTTACTTGCTGCAAATATTTACAATGCCCAAGTCAAGTTAAACGGGTCAGCCCTAGCGGGTTTCGGGCTAGCCCTAACGGGCTTCGGTTTAAACGGTCCGGGCCTAAAAAGCCCTGATTTAAACGGGCTACCAATAAAAAGCCCTAACCCTGTTTTTTTCCGGGCTAAACGGGCTGGCCCGTCGGGCCAAGGACCGTTTAACATCTCTAAACATGAATATGGTTTACTCATTTTTTTTCTTTTTTTTTGTGATAAATAACACAAATCAACAATATATGTGTGTGTGTGTGTGTGTATATATATATATATATATATATATATATAAAGAATTACAATTTTTTAAAAACGGCGAGTCAAACTGTGGTCAAATATGGTTGATCATTAATTGCATGCTATTAATAACAAGTTTTTATTTTATTTTTTTTATTTACAAACGTGCATCATTAATTATTGCATTTAAATGTGGAGTTTGTTAAGTGGAGTTTGTTATTTACTTTTGCGCAAGATTATGTTGTTCCTTTTTTATTTTCACAAATTAAAAAAAAAAAAATCTTTAACATATAATCGTGTACCACATTGCAAATTTTATTTTATTAAAAAATTAAATTACGCCTAATTTAATAATATAAACTTACCTTAGTATTTACAAAAAATAGAAACTCTTTTAATATCAAACCGGCTACTACAATTTTTTATAATCGGATGCTTTATTTTTTAAAAAAATAAATTACAATTCATTTATTTGGTGGATTTG